CATGCTAAATTGTCCCGTAGTGCCCAGGGATGTGCAGGTTAGGGTGGATTGGCTGTGCTAAATTACCCATAGTGCCCAGGGATGAGCAGGTTAGGGTGGATTGGCCATGGGAAATTACCCATAGTGCCCAGGGACATGCAGGTCAGGGTGGATTGGCCATGGGAAATTGTCCCATAGTGCCCAGGGATGTGTAGGTCAGGGTGGATTGGCCATGGGAAATTGTCCCATAGTGCCCAGGGATGTGTAGGTTAGGGTGGATTAGCCATGGGGATGCAGGGTTATGGGGATAGGGTAGCGTTGTGGGTCTGGGTGGGATGCTCTTCAGAAAGTCAGTGTGGACTCGATGGGCCGAATGGCTTGCTTCTGGAATGTAGAGGATTGTATGATCTACGTGAACCCCATTTGCATCCCAGTTCCTTCCAGACTGTTTGTAAATAGTTCATGAGATGTGGGTGTCACCGGCTGGGCCAGCATTTTTTGGCCATCCCGTTGCTGCGGACCTAGAGTCACGTGTAGGACAGACCAGGTCACGGTGGCCTCAAAGGTTTTTTTTTTTAAAAACAACAATCGGCAACAGTTTCTTGATCACCGTTTACCGCTTTAGAACTCCTGGTTTATTCACTAAATCTCAACACCACGAGAGGTCATAGTAGGATCTGAACCAGTGTCTGCACAGGATTAACGCAGGCCTGTGGATCGCTCTACCCGTCACCCCCTCAACCCACCTGAAGAAGCAGTGGTAGCAGGCTCACGTGGAACCTGGGAGAAGGAGCAATCGGCCAATTGTGCCGAAGGGAAGCAATCTGCCGGGCCTCGGGGTCGGGGAGAATGGGAATCGGTCTGTCAATTGTGTGCGGGATCCCCCTGCAACAAGAAACCCGCCTTTCAGGGAGGAGCTAGACACTGTCAGGGCACAAGGGGGAAAACACGCACAGGGGACGGGGCTGGGTGGTCAGCAGTGATCGTACTGATGGGCTGAATAGCCATTCCTGCTCCTTTATCCTACGTTTCCTTGTTAAAGGGTGTGGTGGGGGGGGAAGCTGCAAAAGCAGGAACTGAGTTGGATGATTAGTCAGGATCGTACTGAATGGGGCAGCAGGGATAGTGAGGCTGAATGGCCTAATCCTGCTCCGATTTTCTATGTCGAAGGGTACGAAGGGAAAGCAGGAACAGGGGATTGAGTTGGGTGATCATCCATGACTGCACTGATGGGCTGAATGGCCTGCTCCTATTTCTCATGTTGAAGGACAGTGGGAACAGGGGACCTCTGAATGTCGTTTCTAGGTTTCAGAGAGGAGCCGAACGGGCTGTGTCCTGCATAAGATGTGAGCGAGCGAGTGACAGAGGGACGTACATTGAGTTTATCGTCGCCATACTTCAGGCACAGAGCACACTGCCGGCCATCTTCAGTGTCCATTTCGATGCCACTGCCCAAGCTACTGGTCTGGCCCTTCGCTCCAGCTCCTCCTGTAACAGAACGCAGCCATATCCTCGTTAGCTCACAGCCCAGTCAGCCCCGACAACCCCAAAAATCAACCGATCCCGCAGCCTGGAATCAACCCGACAATCCATCCCCGCCTCTCGAGGGGAGAGAATTCCAAACATTTCCCAGTCTCCAAGCGAAGACCTCCTCGCACCATTATCCGGAGATTGCGATCCCCCACCCCTCCCCCGAACCTAAACACGGCCGATCCCATAACATTCCTCAGAGCTGCTTTCCTGTGTCTGCCCCTACCTGGGTACGAACTGCAAAGACTTAGAAACAGAGAAAACAGGTACAGGAGCAGGCCATTTGGCCCTTCCACGCACACACAGGCACAGACACGCACACACACACAGACAGGCACAGACGCACGCACACACAGGCACACGCATACTCTCAGACAGGCACACAGGTGCAGACACGCTGGTGCACACAGACAAGGCACCCGCACACAGAGAAGCGCACACACACACACAGAGAAGGCGCACGCGCGCACACAGACAAGGCGCACGCGCGCACACAGACA